CTCTCTGTCTGTAACTGGTCCCAATGAGTGGGCTCTGGATACAGAGGGGCTCAGTGATACCCAGCTCCTCACACCCTCCTGCCCCCTCTCGCTGTCTGTAACTGGTCACAATGAGTGGGCTCTGGATACAGAGGGGCTCAGTGATGCCCAGCTCCTCGCACCCCTCCTGCCCTCTCTCTGTCTGTAACTGGTCCCAATGAGTGGGCTCTGGATACAGAGGGGCTCAGTGATGCCCAGCTCCTCACTCCCTCCTGCCCCCTCTCTCTCTGTCTGTAACTGGTCCCAATGAGTGGGCTCTGGATACAGAGGGGCTCAGTGATGCCCAGCTCCTCACACCCCCTGCCCCCTCTCTCTGTCTGTAACTGGTCCCAGTGAGTGGGCTCTGGATACAGAGGGGCTCAGTGATGTCCAGCTCCTCACACCCTCCTGCCCCCTCTCTCTCTGTCTGTAACTGGTCCCAGTGAGTGGGCTCTGGATACAGAGGGGCTCAGTGATGCCCAGCTCCTCACACCCCCTGCCCCCTCTCTCTGTCTGTAACTGGTCCCAGTGAGTGGGCTCTGGATACAGAGGGGCTCAGTGATGTCCAGCTCCTCACACCCTCCTGCCCTCTCTCTGTCTGTAACTGGTCCCAATAAATGGGCTCTGGATACAGAGGGGCTCAGTGATGTCCCCTCTCGGGGTGCTCCGCCCCTCCCCCCCTGTCCCCGGTTGAGGGGCTCATACACAGCACAGGACTCCATTTATCACCATCAACTCCTCTTACCTGAACTATCTCTGTACGTCACGCTCCGGAACGCGCGCCTCATGACGTCAGCGCGCACGCCTGGCTTGGGGGCCACGCCCACGGGGCGGTGACCGCCCCCTCGACAGGATTTTCTCGAAATTTGCATAACTTGGACACGCCCTGGCCGCCATTTTGTGAACCATTTTGATGGAGCCCCGGGACGTTTTTAGTGCGTTTTTTTGGACTCCAGCAAAATGGCTTCCTGAAAAAAATAAAATTAAAAAAATAATAAGAATATGATTTTGCTGAGTGGAGACATTTTGTTTTTTTTCCCTCTATAGAGCTAGTTTTAGCTCCCATTGGGTACAATTAACAGATCATGTGATTGCAGGGATCACATGACACAGGGAGCAGCAGGGAAGGGGGGATGATACCAATATTAAGGGCTGGCAGGATTTAATGTTAGAAGGCCTATATAATTAATGTAATCAAATTTAAAATAGATGTTTATATTAGGATCATTTTATTGGTAGCGAATGTACATATGAAATTTGATCGCGTTTGTAGAGAGATTTTAGATTGTAAGCTCCTTTGGGCAGGGCCCTCTTCATCTATTGTTCCCGTACGACATGTGTGTTTAGTAAACATAGTACATCTTGTCTTCCCTATTGTACCGTGCTGTGAATATGTTGGCGCTGTCTAAATAATCGTAATTGTATATAAACTACACAAAAATGCAGTTGTAGTTGGGTAAGGTGTCTTTATTTAAACATACGTAAAGGTTCTACTAACTAAATGCTGAAAAGCAACTTAAGGACGTTGAGTTGTCTTAATGGTTTGCTTTGGTAGCTGTTGAAATACATAAATCTCCATTTAAGTTTGCTAATGTGGCTTATTAGGTCTTATTCATGCCATTCCATGGCATAATGTGATTTTAGAAGCAAGTGTGCTTAAACTAAAACATCTCGTACAAATGTTGCAGGACATACTTATTTTAACCCCTTAAGGACCAAACCTCTGGAATAAAAGGGAATCATGACATGTCACACGTCATGTGTCCTTAAGGGGTGAACACGACCGGATTCCCTTTTATTCCAGAAGTTTGGTCCTTAAGGGGTTAAGGCAATTAATACCCATTGCTAGCACTGACATGGCCTTCGTCATTGAGAATAATACGGTAATAGAATTTGACAAATAGGGGTCTGTGCATTTTAGGCATTGTCCTTACACTTCAGTGTAAGCACATAACATCAATTATTGTTTATATGCTCCCTTTTTAGGATGGTTCGTTATTTTCTTTTTTTTTCATTTTAGAATTCTCTAGGTATACTCATTTTCAGAGCAAATATATAAACTTAGATTTTACTGCAGGAAGCCATTTACCAAGAGATTTGGATAAATTAATGGATGTAAACAGTTTGTTGAATTCATGAGCTCATGAAGTGAAATCTATTTTATTATAGTTTGTACTGAAATGTATCTGCTAAGAATAAATCTGTTGTGGTACCAAATGACGGGTGGAAGGCCCAGTGTTACCATCATTGATTGAGAGGTCTGGCAAATCAATAAACATTGAAAATGGTTGTGACGTTACCAACCAAACCAAAAATTGTCTCTCAGTCTCAAACACATATAAAGAGCTCTCTAGTTTTAATGAAAAGTGTGTTGTCAGATTATGTAAATGCAGGACTGTATTTGTGTGGTGTGTTTTGTGTGTGAATGAATGCAAATATGTGCTTGTGTAGAACAAGGAATGTATGCACCAAAAGGGACACTTTAAGAACCTGATGTGGCATTCAATAGGTGCTTAATATGGAGCTTTCAATCCTATATACTTAAGGTCTGATGCACCAGGAAACCACCAGGTAACTCAACAATGCTAAGGCTGGTATAGGACTTCTTCATCTGGCTGTAGACAAGTAGGGTGAATCCCACTTGGATAGACAATCAAATAAGTGAGGATAAGACATATGATTAGTTAATCAAGGACTATATTTCTGTACCTGAGAATAATGGATAAAAATGAGGTTTTGTATGTGTGTGAAATTGTAGATGAACGATTGTGTGAAGATTCCCTTTTTATGATGGTCTGGTTTATGGAGATATTTAGCACAATATTAACAAACAGAGATACTCTAGTTTTATGGCTCATAAGCCTTAAAACTTGAATGACTGACAGAAGGCATCTTCAATGTTAAATGCTGTATTGGAAAGCGTAAATGTGCATATGACGGAAGTCACAGAGCAAATCTTCCATTGAGACGCCATTTATATCAATGCATGTAAATAATGTGGTAATGTAATTATAGCTATGTGAAGCCACCAGTAGTTCAAAGGAAAAAAATGGCAGCGGCAAATCCAGCAAATTTTTGCCTGCAATGTCACATATACGGAATACAACAGGAGATATTTTCACGTTTACCTTTATTGTCTAACTTTAGTAACATGTATAATGAACTCAATTATACTAGACAAAATAATTGTATTGTTATCGCCTATCCATTGCTAAAGTACGTATAATTACTAAAGCAACGAGTGAGCAAAGTGTTGTATAACGTGGATGGCCCACCATTAAGAGGGTATGAATTGTCCCGTACAGATTTATAAACAAAAAAATTATTATTGAACTTTTCAATGTATCTATGGACACTATACAAACTGGAAGGTACAATTTTAGAAGTCCTGTTTCAGTGTTGGACTGGCCACAATATATAGAAGTGATGGCAAACATTTGCTTCTGCAGACAATTCCTGAAAGGCCGCCTGGCGTCATGGGAAATGTATTCACAACACATGCAACACAAGCCATTACTGCCTCAAAGGTAACAATGTGTGTGATACAGATTAACTTGGGCAGCGATATTTGATTGAGATCCAGAGCAGGTAAGCAATATTCTGATTAAACTTTTTTCCATAGGAAACATTGTAGTGGTCTAAAGCAGGTGCCAACAGGGTGAGGATCTCTGTACCAAACAACCAGGAACGTTAGAGTTTGAAGAACTCTAAGATTGCTCGTACAAGTAACAAAGCTTGTATGCAGTAAGAAGATGAATTATTAAGAGAAGGATCAATGCTTTTCCAACGCCTTGGTCAACAGTTCATTAAGGCGGCTAACCATGGGCCTGGGGTCATCATTTAGGCCGGCAGCGATCATAGCATTTTCATAAATCTGAAAGTAGAAGAGACGGGTTTGTTTTAAAGTGGGATTAATTTACAATCATTAACAGCATAATGATATAATAAGGTTATCATGATTGTATATATGGATATGCATAACTAAATATAGATTCATAAAGCGCTTTAGTTTCCACAGGGAAATACAAATAAAAACGCATAGTAGAGATTCTCACAGCACTGGAACCAACAACTTCACATTACTGCAACTTCTCAAAATGAGCTGGGTTGTGTTACAAATAGGGGGTTAGTTGTGAAGGACCGCCTGGCACCCCGACCAGGTACCTCCGTCAATTGCTGCTCCCTAGTACTAACTAGTATCATAAGCACTGCGCTGGAACACCATAACTACTGCAAACCCCACAAACTGCCGCAGCTTGGTTGGGATCTCGCCGTCTCCTACCCACCCTGGACCTATGACCAGGATCCAGCGGGTAGAACTCTATTAGTCCAGAGAGCGTAGCAGGAACAAGGGCTTACAAGAGCTTAGTAATTATACTCAGGGGAGCAAAGTGATTATAGCAATACCCCAGAGTGTAGGTCTCCAATCCCTCAAACATGAGCCGAAACTTCAAGATGATCTGATCTTTAATGGTTCAGGTTGGCTTTCATACAATTCTCCAGGCCAGAGGAACACCCTCTGGACCTGATGGGACACAGAAACCAATCAGAACAAACATACAGTCTGTGACACGCCCATGTACAGCACACAATCCCTCCCCTCTGCTTTGGAGGTAATGGAGTAAAGTCCTGAAAGTAACTCAATTCTCTCCAGGCAGAAAAAAACATTTTCACAAAGTTCAGAAAGTACCCCCAAAACATAACATCCCCCCTCTCCGGATAGCCCTGATCTGGGTGAACAACATATCCAAAAATAGCCCAGATCAGAGCAGGGGTTCAAAAGTTTAATGGAAGTCTCTTTTTGACCAGCCACAAGTTTGGTTTCATGCCCAAAACAGTTCCAGAGAATCAGGGCTTGCGGCCGGCCTAGTTTGGGAGTTTGCAAGCAAACAAACTACCGAACGTAGTCAATTGTCTTACCCTGGAGCTTGTTCCCTTCATCTAGACGAATGATCTCAGAACAGTGCCCTTCTAAGCTGAATAAAAACAAATGCAGGCGATGATGGAAGTTCAGCCGTGTTCGGGAGTTTCTGTATCCGATTTCAGTTCCATGAGATTAATGGCCAAACACCGCTGCCTGCTTTCATTCGAACAAGATGGCCGCCACCTCATGGTTGTTCATAGGAATCGCGGCCACCCAGACGAACAATTAGAACACGAACCATATAGTCCCAATTGCACGAACAGAGCCTGTTTGGAGTCTATTAGCCAGTACTATTCCAGGGGCCATGGTCACAGGGTAGGAAGCTGGCAAACAGGCCCCTCCAAAAACTCGTGGCAAACTCACAGAAAAAGGTGGAGTTTGCCACAATAGTTAAAAAAAAAAAAAGACACAAAAAACCTAACGAAAATAGATAACACCATCCCAAACAAAGCAGGCACTGGCTGCTAACAGAAATCCAATGTTTTCACACTATTTTGGTGCATCTGAATCGTTTTCTAAAACGATCACGTGGTCAAAATGCATCCACACAAACTACCAGATGGACAAATTTCTGTTTGTCCGAACCAGATTTTGCTGTGCACAAGTCCAACTCTTAGCAACTTCCCAAGTATAAGAAAAGGATATTGATGGGCAGGTGGCTGAAAATTATATATATACATACATACATACATATATATATATATATATACACACACACATACACACACACACACACACACACACACACAGGATTTAAAACAAAATGGACATAATGCCCGTGGCTGACGTTTAACAGCAGATCAAATTACCCACCTGATCCAGAAGTAACTTTGCCAGTTCCTGGTCAGAGTCCTTCAGCTGCTCCAACTTCTTAATGAGTGGATGGCTACAAACACAGTATACACAAATGTTATCAACAGCCTGATCTCAATATGGAATAATCAACATTATGATTGCAGAGCTTAATACTGCTTGTAAAGTAAATAAATCCATCATATGACCTGGTCATTAGGAAAGGAGGAATGTATGGCCTAGGGCAGGGATAGGCATCCTTCGGCACTCCAGATGTTGTGGACTAAATCTCCCATAATGCTTTTACACCCATAATGCTGGCAAAGCATCGTGGGAGATCTAGTCCAAAACATCTGGAGTTCCGAAGGTTGCCTATGCCTGGCCTAGGGTATGTAGCCTTATTAGACTAGGTCACCCATAAACTGTTCGTAACCAAATATGGGGGAAATACTCAAAGAAAAGCTGGGAAATTTGTCATCTCTATGGAAGGCCTTCCTTCTCACCCAAACCCTGCACTGCTTTTTATAATTTAGTCAGTCAAGTGAGAGGAAAGTTTCCAAAGATACATACCCAGTGTTAATTTCCAGTGTGGGCTGCAGGATTTGAGCTCGTTCCTCGCTGGTTTTAGCAAGTTGTTGGGTACGTAGGAAATGTCGAGCTGCTCCCATCTCCAAAACAGTGATCATGGCTGGATGGGTGTCCAGGCGTGGTGTTACCTTGGTGTGACAGAACATATTGGTAATTATTATGGATCAATAGCTATAACTACTTACAGCTTGGCTGCTGTTCACAGGCTCCAACCTGCCTATGTGGTGAGGATATACTGGTTCTCCCATCCTTTGTTGCTTTTGTTATGGGCATATGCAAATATTACAAGACTTTATAGTGGTAAATAGGGGAACTACAATGGTCACACTTTCCCCAAAGTAAAGAATGGGAGATGCTTGCGTGTGTGTTGTACAACCATAGTTACTCATTTTCTTCAACTGAATTCTCTTTTTTAACTTTGCAATGCAAAATCGGCTCCTATTAAGGTTTATGAAGAAATACTGGGAAAAGGCAGGAGGCAGGAGTGAATGAATACTTTGTGATAAAATGAAATTATTGTCAGAGAGGCTAGAAGATGAGTAAATGTAACAGTTTCCGACATACTTACTGGTAAGAACCAATGGCTCATTCTTTTGAGAACCTGTATATTTTACATTTCGATAAACGTTGAGGCCAAAATGTCACATATACTAAATATATATGTCTTGGATCAGTACAGATAACGGATTTAAACAATAAGATCTGGACTTTTAATAAGGAACATGCTTCCAGAACATTACATTACACAATGGTAACCCAATTCAAAAATGGCATTGTAAGAACAATGAAAAGGCTTGTACAGGAAATATGACCATTGTTTGTTACCTTGATATTGGTTACTCTGGTCCCCAAGCCATTTCTCATCCAAGCCATGAGGTCTTCTGCATCTTTCTCCAGCAAGCGTTCTCCAGCTGAGATGGGAAAGATTAAGACATTTGATGAGTACATGTAAGGGACGCTAAACTGCTAAAAGCTGCCTGAGTAGAGACAAGATACCTGGTTTGTTGTCCTCAAACGTCTCCTCCTTGTAATGATCTACAACTATGTCAGTCTCCACAGAGATCAGCTTTTTCCGGTCAAATTCCCGCAAATGTAACAGAGTCAGCTCATCAAACTGCTCATAACAGAACAGGACCTGGGAGGACAATTAGAGAATCTTGTAATTCAATGACATGGTGTTAGCAGAACACCACAGGATTGTAAGGGCTGCAAGATGAAGCCAAAGCCAGGACCAGTAGCACCTAGTTCCTCACCTCAGTATCTTTCTGTTTCATAGCCTCATAGTAAGGACTGTTCTCGGCAAGGTGGCGATTAGGAGCGCACAGATAGTAGATGTTGCGTGTTCCAGGTTGCATGCGGCTAGCGTAATCCGTGAGGTTGGTCTGCTGACCTGCTGGCAGTGCGGACGACTCAAAACGCAGCAACTTCCCAATGTCCTCCTAAGAAGCCAAATCAAAAGTTTTTGTATTTTCAGATCTCCAAACCACTAGCAAGACAATGAGAAACACCAAGCAAACATTGTCTGGTCAAAAAGCCTAATATCGCAAACAAATCTCATAATAGAAAACACAAAAACAACATTTTGGGTCGCTTCAACTGCTTCACTGTTTAATTCAAGCGAAATCATTTAAACATTATATAAATCAATGTTCTGTGGCACTAGCTGGACTTCCACAGGATACCCATCATAGAACAGTAACAGAATATATTGCTTATCAATGCATAGGGAACATCATTCCTATGTTGTACACCCAGAAATTGTGGAACATAGCAAGTACTGTGGGATTTCCGGGAGCTGCTGGTCACCTATACACATAAACAAATACACCATTGGTGACAGTCTCACCTTGACCTCTTGCTCTGCTGTGGTCACAATTCCCTCTCGCATAAACAGTCCATAGTCTTCAAAGAATTTGGCGTATTTCTCTGGGTCCTTCTTACTCTGATCAATGAAGAATTTGACGAGCCGTTTTTGCAGCACGTCCCGCAGTTTCCTGTGATATAATGGATTTACTAAGATTCACAAACACAAGCCTTCCAACTCAAACTAGAACCCTAGTTGTCCTCCAACACGACAACCAGAAGTCAATCTGGCCCTCACCTGTAATGTCTAAAAAGCCAGCGACAATATCATTAGACACCGGATTAGTTATTTTTAAGAGATATACAGAGCAAAAAGCTCTATATATCAAGCAAAGAGAATTATTACACTGCATGCTTAAAAAAAAGGCCAGGCGTGAAAATGAGCATTTCTGTAGATTTCAGTAGCACACAAGATCATATAACAAATAAAAAAATAAAATAAAATTGTCAACCTATTGTTCTCTTGCTTTCTACATGTGACATTCAAAGAACAAACACAATACTGCAATAGGGATGCCAAGAACTAAACGATTACTTTTATTTGTGCTGGAAGCTGCACCTCAATTTCTATATTCCCATAGAAATCCTGGATACGTCCTCAAGCATAAATGCCTGGTAGAGACTAAATTCTCAATTTGTTCAGCAATACCGGACAGCTGTTAATATTATACATATACCTTCAGTAACACAGCAATGTGAACTGTAGGCCTATTAAAAGGAACACTATAGGGTCAGGAATAAAAACGTGTATTCCTGACCGTATCGTGTTAAAACTATTTAGGTGACAACGCCCCACTGCACGTCCCCTTAAATAGTGTAAAAACTCACCTTTATTCCAGTGCCGCGCAGGAATGCCCGTGTTGGCTCCGCCCACTGGACTGATTTAAGAATTGATGATCTCAGCCAATCCAATGCTTTCTTATAGCAAAGCATTGGGAGGCTAATACACATGTGGCCACCAGACCCTACCTGGAGATGTACCCACCAAATCTTGTTTGCAAATTACTCACAGTCTGCAATGAGCAGACATACGATTATTTACCTACAATCAAAGTGTGTTCAATAACCAATACTGATCAGAGAACTAGTAACGCCCACAGACAAACAAGGAATAACTTTAATCTATGCCTCTATTTCCCACCTGATCAGTGAGCTCTCTTGCAGCAGTTCCCGACTAAGATTCAGGGGGATGTCCTCGCTGTCCACAACTCCTGCAGATAGGGGATATGTAGTAAGGTAACATTGGGGGCATGGGGGATCAGAAAAAAAGTCATAGCTTTAAGTATGGGATTAAAACAGTTAAGGTGAAGATTAAATATCAAGTCCCAAATGAACCCATTTTATATTCTCTGGGTGAAAATCAAAGTCATATTACACGCACCTCGCAAGAAGCGTAGCCACTTCGGTAAAATGTCAGCAGCTTTGGTCTGGATAAGTACCTTGCGACTATAGAGAGCCACACTGGATCCCAGCTCTCTGCTCACGTCAAACATGGAGGGTTTCTGCAGACGGGTTAAAGTGGAGGTTTATTGCAGTGAGGCTAAGATGCTGCAGATGAACATTCAATAAAATTTGGCATTGTGCCTATGCAAAGCTCACTGGCTGGGAGTACAAATCATATCGTCCCTGCTGTAGAGGATTCTACTCTAGCAAGAGATTTCAACTCACCATCTCTGGCACATAGAAGATGCTACGGATGTTGAGTGGTGCGTCTGCCTTGTAATGCAGAGTGTAGCGCGGTTTGTCGTATGCCTGGGCGATGAAGCGATAGAACTCTTCATGTTGCCAATCACTAATTTCTTTAGGATCCATCATCCAGAGAGCCTAACGTTAGGGAAGCAAAAAACAACAATTACACATGATGAGAATATCTCAAAATTTGTTTTCTAAAACTCTCCCTATTATCGAGATATTGAGGACTCAAGTAAATCACCAACTCATTTTATCATTAAAATAAACCTTTATTATTCAAAAAAAAAAGTCACAAGGCAGGACTGTATTTGGGACCAACCTTTGGAGTACAAAGGGCAAGGTACCCCTAGTCTCACATGTTTTGGGCTTAATCACAGAATAAAGAGTAAAAACTCACCATAGAAAACACAAGTTACTGATATCTAAATTGAATGTGTATACTACATGGATTTTGGCACAAAGCTATATATCATCCTTCCAGCCACCTACCTGCAGGGTGTTCAGCCGCTTGCCATTCAGGTACACGGGGAAACTGACAAAGTTGCTGTATTTTGTTACCACTTCTGCAAGGTGGAATGACAAGAGAAGAATATATTAACGACCTGTATTATCAGTAAGGCCACACACGGTGCTGATCTAGAGAAGGTAGAGTTTGTGATGACTAATGCTCGCAGTGCAGGGTCTCCAGATCTTACCTTTCACACGATCCTCGTTAGAAAACTCTTTGCAGTCATCTTTGAGTTGGATAACAATTTTTGTCCCTGGCTTTACCCCACTGGCCTCTGCTAGCTCAAAGACACCAGAGCTGAACGGAAGGAGGAGAAAATAATTATTTAAAAATAAAAACATTACCTTTACATGATAAGCTGCTGCCATAAGATATCTAATCCTAAATCTGCTACTGAGAAAAGGCCAAGACCATGTCTATCAATGTTGAGAAGCCTTTCAATACAATGGCTACCTTATAGAATATTGTCTATTGGATCAAGCTTAGGATATAGAATTCGGATATTGGCTGAAACTTAATATTTTTGCATTGTAGTACAAAGAAAATGCTCTGCGTGAGAACATCCAGCGTCAAGGAAAACCCCATAGGAAAACACTGAGTCAATGCTTTCTAATGGGGAAGGCATAATAAGCGCGGCATATAAATATATATTTGGGAGTCCAGGCCAAGTCTACAGTTTTCCACCCCTCCCAGTCACAGGTGCCTCATTCCAGGGCCCTATTTAACCTTGCCCTGCAGAGAGTCCCAGTGGAAGCATTTCCCAAATAAGTGGATTAATGTCATAAGAGCAGACATTAGGTTGTTACAGTAGGATATGCCAAGAATGGGGTACACGGACACTGTGTACAGGCTTATGCAATGTATGATCATATACTGTAACTAAATCCCATTGTATGAGATAGAAACATTTCTACCTTCTCAAGGCCATCTCAAGATACAAATCATTGTCATTAACACATCAGGCATTGGATTTATCAATACCTAGTTTGTGTATACATTGATTTATTTATCCATTTATGGGCAGTAACTTCTCAAAGTATTGTGTTCAATAACCCCAGAGCTTCCGCCATTGGTTGGCTAAGAGGTGAGTTGCACTTTATACTTCAAGTACCAGAACGTTCTACAAAAACCATGAGAATGAGAAGCTCTAAAACAGAGAAACGAACTGAAAGAGCCCTGAGATCACTGGACTCACCCATCTGAAGACCAGCAGTACCCAGGGCTGCCAGGCTCAGCAGACTGAGAGTATACTACCACCTTGTCTGCCACCATGAAAGAAGAGTAGAAACCCACACCGAACTGGCCGATTATCTTACTGGCACTGTCCGCTTGGTTCTGCAGGGCATCCAGAAATGCCTGGAATAGAGGGTTAAATCCATGGATGATGAGTAACAAGGAAGAAAAACTGATGATGGAAAAAGGTGGACAATCAAAATGAGACAGTTTTACCCTGCAGCTCTTTCCGTGCCCCACGTTTGTTAGTGACAATATGCTCAAAGACATATGAAAGCAGAGGAGGTAAATCAAGTGTGCAAGTTGACTACCTACCTTGGATCCAGAGCGGGCAATAGTTCCGAGGTTAGAAATTAGTTCATCCTGTGTCATCCCCACTCCGGTGTCCTGCAAGAAGGAATCGAGAGTGAGTGGGCGGAGTCAAACAGAAAGCACTCACCCATGGGATCCTTCACCAGCTCAGCATGGAGGTACATTACTACACAGCAATTAATAGAGGTACGGCTGTATAACACTATAATGAAGCTGGCTCAATTGTAGTGCAACAAGGAGAAAAACACAATGTTTGTAGCTCCACCATCACAATCCATCATTGTAACAAGTAGAACTAACCAACCCCCTGCCAGCTGACCAAGTCACCTTCAATAAATCTCAGCCAGAAGAGCAAGACGTCAAAAATGAAACCTCTATGTATGATTAGATACAATACACTGTACCGGTAATTCTACACTACTACACTCAACTACATCTTCAGCTCCACACATCAAATGCAAAACAGAACATACACCTAGGTAGGAGGAGTCCAACAAATTGTTACCTTTTAACCATTTAGTATACACCCCAAAAGAAAACATGAACATATTTCTTTGTAGGTATATGGAGAAAATAGCTTGAAAAAGATCTGTCGGAGCCCGAAGCCCTCCCCTCTTTGATGGACAGAAAGTCTGTGCTGTGGAATACACCATTTGGAGGCTTGTCATTGAGAAGCCTTTGTGCTGGAGCTATGAATGCAATCACCCCTTCCCTATGCTTCTCATCGCGCTGTAGCATAGCTCACAGAGAAGGGGGAAGTCAGACGCCTGCTAGCTCATGCGAACTCCCATGGCTGTCTGAATAGCCGCCTGGGAGATGTGTCTGCCCCCAATTACAACATTTTCTATTGAAATTGGCACTTTTATAAACTGTCACAAATATGGCAGAGCAAGCTGAATTGCTTTATATGTCTGGCGGGTTCCTCTAGAATGCTAAATCCTTAAACCAAAACGTAAAATCCCGCCCTACAACAAAGAAAAATACAACGTAATTCCAAAGAATATCTAGATTTAATATCTGGACATGTTTTATAGCACAGGTACTTAACCCCTTAAGGACCAAAAACTTCTGGAATAAAAGGGAATCATGACATGTCACACATGTCATGTGTCTTTAAGGGTTAATCGCAGGCTGGTGAGCCTGGATGGAAATCAGAGAAACCTATGATTAAGTACAAGGCAGTGGTTGAGTTGATTATCTTTTCTGCAAGGAGTTAAGTAATATCCAAAATAAGAAATAAGTGATGTGTACCCCACCTGGATAGTGAGCGTCCCCTTATCACTGTCTGTCTGCAGGTGAATTTCCATCTCAGGCAGGACGCTCCCCTGTTGCATGAGTTTGTGGCGCAGCTTCTCAAGAGCATCGCTGCTGTTCGAGATCAGCTCGCGAATAAACACCTGATTGAACCGAGCAGGAAATGTTAAAGGAAATATGTGTATTCAAAAAAATGAATAAACAGATAAAACATTCACACAGCTGGGGTAAGTGCAACATGTTACAACAGTCGTTATAGTAATTCTGTGAGATTACTAAACCCAGTAAGCACAGTTACAAATAGTTTCTTCCTCAGACAAATACCTCTTTCTCAGAATAGAGGGAGCGAGCAACAATATCTAAGAGCTTCTTTGTTTCAGCCTGAAACTCATGAGTAGTAGAAGAACCTGTGAATGTATTGAAAAGAAGAGAGATGTTAAAAAGTTAGTAACATTACTACTGTAACTTGTAATGAGACAGTGATGGGAAACGGGTAGTTACAGGGTGTGGGTCCTCTAATGATAGGTACAGTTATAGGGTGAGGGGTCCTGTAATAGAGCAGTGATAGGTACAGTTATAGGGTGAGGGGTCATGTAATAGAGCAGTGATAGGTACAGTTATAGGGTGAGGGGTCCTGTAATAGAGCAGTGATAGGTACAGTTATAGGGTGAGGGGTCCTGTAATAGAGCAGTGATAGGTACAGTTATAGGGTGAGGGGTCCTGTAATAGAGCAGTGATAGGTACAGTTATAGGGTGAGGGGTCCTGTAATAGAGCAGTGATAGGTACAGTTATAGGGTGAGGGTCCTGTAATAGAGCAGTGATAGGTACAGTTATAGGGTGAGGGGTCCTGTAATAGAGCAGTGATAGGTACAGTTATAGGGTGAGGGGTCCTGTAATAGAGCAGTGATAGGTACAGTTATAGGGTGAGGGTCCTGTAATAGAGCAGTGATAGGTACAGTTATAGGGTGAGGGGTCCTGTAATAGAGCAGTGATAGGTACAGTTATAGGGTGAGGGTCCTGTAATAGAGCAGTGATAGGTACAGTTATAGGGTGAGGGGTCCTGTAATAGAGCAGTGATAGGTACAGTTATAGGGTGAGGGGTCCTGTAATAGAGCAGTGATAGGTACAGTTATAGGGTGAGGGGTCCTGTAATAGAGCAGTGATAGGTACAGTTATAGGGTGAGGGTCCTGTAATAGAGCAGTGATAGGTACAGTTATAGGGTGAGGGGTCCTGTAATAGAGCAGTGATAGGTACAGTTATAGGGTGAGGGGTCCTGTAATAGAGCAGTGATAGGTACAGTTATAGGGTGAGGGTCCTGTAATAGAGCAGTGATAGGTACAGTTATAGGGTGAGGGTCCTGTAATAGAGCAGTGATAGGTACAGTTATAGGGCCAGGGGTCCCGTAATAGAGCAGTGATAGGTACAGTTATAGGGTGAGGGTCCTGTAATAGAGCAGTGATAGGTACAGTTATAGGGTGAGGGTCCTGTAATAGAGAAGTGATAGGTACAGTTATAGGGTGAGGGTCCTGTAATAGAGCAGTGATAGGTACAGTTATAGGGTGAGGGGTCCTGTAATAGAGCAGTGATAGGTACAGTTATAGGGTGAGGGTCCTGTAATAGAGCAGTGATAGGTACAGTTATAGGGTGAGGTCCCTGTAATAGAGCAGTGATAGATACAGTTATAGGGTGAGGTCCTGTAATAGAGCAGTGATAGATACAGTTATAGGGTGAGGGTCCTGTAATAGAGAAGTGATAGGTACAGTTATAGGGTGAGGGGTCCTGTAATAGAGCAGTGATAGATACAGTTATAGGGTGAGGGTCTTGTAATAGAGCAGCAATAGGTACAGTTATAGGGTGAGGGGTCCTGTAATAGAGCAGTAATAGGTACAGTTATAGGGTGAGGGGTCCTGTAATAGAGCAGTGATAGGTACAGTTATAGGGTGAGGGGTCCTGTAATAGAGCAGTGATAGATACAGTTATAGGGTGAGGGTCTTGTAATAGAGCAGTGATAGGTACAGTTATAGTGTGAGGGTCCTGTAATAGAGCAGTGATAGGTACAGTTATAGGGTGAGGGGTCCTGTAATAGAGCAGTGATAGATACAGTTATAGGGTGAGGGTCTTGTAATAGAGCAGCAATAGGTACAGTTATAGTGTGAGGGTCCTGTAATAGAGCAGTGATAGGTGCAGTTATAAGGTGAGGGGTCTTGTGTGTAGTAAAAGGATGTTACCTCACCTTGCACATTTTCTGTGTCAGAGATGATTTTGTGAAGAGTCTCTTCCTCCTTGCTCTCTGCAATCTGTGTGGTATATCTCCGGCAAGCTATGGCACTCAAACTGCTCTGAGCAGTGTGGGAAATTTGTCTAGATCGCAGGTAACATTTTGAGATGTAGCCTGTAAACAAGCCCAGGCAAGAACAGAACTCACTTTAAAATCTCAGACAGTGTTATCATATTTCTAAATTCCAATATTTGAAAATATATCATTTAGAAGGGAAAATGTATATAATGTTACCCATCAAGTTAGAAATCACATATCATGCATTAACCAAGTGAATGACACATGGAGTTTGTGTCTTTCAATGTTTAATAAAGATTTAAACAAAGTTAAACTATTCCAAGCTAAAACTCACTAGGAAAAGCAGAAAAGAGGAGCCTTCAGATGTTTATTAACAGAAGGAGGAGAATGGAGTGTGAGGCAGGGCTCACATTGGAACTAACACAAGGCAAGCATACTGACTCTGGACAGACAGGCATTTGTTAGTTTGGATGAGGATACAAATGTACAGCCCACCTGTCCTGCAGTGACTATGACCTTGTTCTCACTCAGAGGTCAGCCAAATTGGTGCTGTGTAATGTGTGCAGATTAAACTATTTACTGAACAAGGGACAGCTCATGTCCTTAACACAAATCCCTCCCGTGCCATTCACTGCAAAGGATCAAAGGCTAGCCCGAAAAGTAAAAGCAGTATTGCCTGTCTCTAGCACTAAAATAGTGAATATGTTAGGGCTTGAGAAGTCATAGGAACCTGAATTCTAATAAAATTGATAGGTTTTTGTGAAAAAAAAAACTACATTGCATTAGCTCATACCGGACTCCGGAGAAACCAAAACTTACAGCTGAATAAATCTAATGTTCTCTAATTTTCTGCAGACGTGTTTCAACCCAGTTCCAGTGTTACGCGGCAGGAGGTGGGGAGGACAAATGTAAGTGGCAAATATTCCTGAACCAATCTAAAATAGTGTGTGTATTAATACCAAGAGGCAGAATGTCAGCTTTTAAATGATACTCCATGCCTACGATTTCTTACTGGGAGCAAATATTTAAAAAGTGATGGGCTAACAGATCACTGTAATGAGAAGTTTAAAGAAAAATAAAACAAAAAAAAGTAGTGTATCTCGAGAATTGTATTTAATAAAATGTGTGTGCAGTGGTCAATGTATTATTGTCTCACCCCCAAGCCACTGAATGTAAAATTACAGCATTAATAAAGTATAAAAGGTGTTGATTTAAATGGGCACTGGTCAGATATAGGGAAATACTATGAACAGGGCAGTGATGGGTAACCTTGGCACCTCCAAAGGTTACTTAACCTCATTCTCTATGAATCCATTGAGGCTGGCTGAGCATGATGGGCAGCTACTGCAGACAGATCTGGTTTAGGAATCCCAGCCCACACAGGAGAGGGGGGGATACACTCTGGGGGTCTCTCCCTAATGATCTCATGCTGGGACATTGCACAGTGTGGGCATTGCACATGGCCAGCTGAGACCATGGCAGTATTCCCCCCCTCCTCAGACCATGGTGGTCAGTCCTGCCATCAGGGGCACTCACCTGACACACTGCGCCCTGGCCCAGGCCGCCCACAGGCTCTCAGTGCTCTGCTGAGGCTCCCTCTGAGCAAGGCTGCAGCCGCCATGTTGTAGACAGGTGTGCAAGGCAGTGGGAAACGTCATCACCGAGCGCCCGGTATGGGCGCGCCGCAGTGACGTCAGGGGGCTGGTACGTTTGTGACCAAAATGGAGGATGTCAATGTCATCCAAGAGTGGGCTGGGAATGGGGAGGAGGGGGTGTCAGCCTGGAACACAGGGAGATGGGGCTCTGCAAAAAGCTGGATTTTCATTTTGTAATGGATTAAATTATATTTTGTGCTTAATCACCAGCTCCCTCTAAGTCAGCCAGGGGGTTAATAAACACTGCTTCAATATCCACTGCAGTCTGAAAGCAAAATTAATTTCACATCTAAGGGCAAAATATCAGAAAGGAACACGGATTTGGAGATTTATTTTATTTTTTTCTTTATATATATTTTGGTATAAAATTGTAAAATTTACTTTCAGGGCTAGTCACTAGACTGAGAATTGTCAGTAATTCAAAGTGAATTTCAAATTGTAAACAAACAAAAAAAGAAAGAAATTTACAAAGTGGAAGCAGAGCTAAATTATATTTTTTTCCCCCCAATACATCAATTTTGGCCTTAAATATGAAATTGATTGTAGTAAACCACACTGTTAGAATTCCTGAGAAGTCACATTTAGGGAATAGACTGTAAGCTCGTTTGAGCAGGGTCCTCTTCAACCTAACGTTCCTGTAAGTTTTCTTGTAATTGTCCTAGTTATAGTTAAATCCCCCCCTCTCATAATATTGTAAAGCGCTACGGAATCTGTTGATGCTATATAAATGGCAATAATAATAATAACCCTGACTGACTCCTTTGTGGGTTTAAAAAAAAAAAAAAACTTTTAGGGGACATGGGTGCTTTCCCTCACACACATACACAAACATATTATCAGAAAGAAATGGTTTTGATTGGTCGGTCGATTTTTGGATGTTTTACCATCTCGTGCATGAACTTGGATGTGGCTGGGCTTTCTCCATGTCTGTTTCCTGTTTGATCATTGTGTGTGTATATATATATATATATATATATATACACACCTTTTAAAGAGCTTTTTCATTGGATCCATTGAGGGTTTTCTTTTTTTATGAATGAAGCAACTTGCAGCCACACATCGATACCTCAGCGATACCTTATTTAGGTTTTTTTGGGGGTCTTTTTTTTTGTACACAAACACCTATAATGAGGAAATAGCACAAATGTTTCCACAGTTGCTCTTTATATATGGTAGGTGCCCCTAATATAACGTTTGTAAAAATTAAAACAAAAACCGCCAGTGGCTGCAAAGGCACAATATAATGGATAAACTTTGTTTCCACTTTTAAATGGTACACCCAAATTATACTAGATATATTGATGACAGGCTAAAATCCACCAGATGTATACTTTACCATTATGGTTTAGTGGTGAATATAAATAGCAAAAATCTCTCTCTCTATATATATATATATATATATATTTAATTTTTTTTAAATTAGGGTACATCTCTCTCTCTCTATATATATATATAGCATTTATGTGCATGCATGAGTTGAACATGGGCATAAAGCATGAGTAAACTAGATGGCTATATTAAATGTGTACGAAGAGATCCCTAGTGATTATATCATGTTAAAATGCCTTGTTAGAGTCAGTATGAATAAGTGACGACTTATGTGTTTGTTGACAGAACCACTTACTAGACCTATTTTTGTCTTTACCTTTTAAAATATAACATGCTTACTGTATTTGTAGAATGGTCTTCCTATTAATTTAAAATATATATATTTTAATTGAGGCATAAGCATTGTACAAATGGTAACTGTCAACAATGACAACCGTTGACTTAATAGGGCAGAGCGCCATGGCATGGTTAGATTGTTTTGGTACGTACAGTACGTAAGGAATGATGGATAGTAAAATAACATTGTGAAGGTACAACATAGCGTTGTGAGAAATAAGTTGTCACTAGTTGAGGACCCCTTTTTTGTGTGGGTGCATAAGTTGTATGGTGTGTCCATGCTGGGAAAATCCATTACCCGGTGGGCCACACCCTTCCCCTCTCAATGTCTTAGGCCTGCAGGTCCTGAAGCTAGAGTTTGTCTTAACGGCCTTTGTCAGTTACTACCCGTGTAAGGCTGAAACAGGACCTAAGGGGCAGGGATGTTATGCTATTCGGGTTATTAGTACACCTGGTGTGACGTTCAGGCATGGTGGAGTGCAATGTTAATAAGTTCCGGAACTCTGGGGGGGGAAGAATTATAAGTTAAAGACTAAACGTGGGTCAAGATAGGTTCCCTACGACAGGAAGACGTTAAGGTTGAAAAAAATACTGTTAACATTTCTAACAATCATGTGTAGTTAACCAGACAAACATTGGATTAGGCAAGTAACTTGGCGGCACTGGCTCTCTTCAGCCTGGAGCAGATGACCCAGCAGGGGTTAATACTGCGACATTGGCAACAACCCAGTGGTGAGTGGGCCTGGCTCTGATGCTTAAAATGGCGGTGGCTTCCAGTCCCATCGAGCGTAGAAATGGAGTTGCTTCTGTAAGCCTGAATCATTGGCCGTTTTGTTCGGCTCTCCGCGCCCGTGGGTAACCCCATTTATTGGGTATTGCTACTGCCCGTAGCTTTGCAGTCATCATCAGTCCCTTTAAAGAGGCGCCATTGCTGTGTGGGGTGGCTTAAGTCCTGGAAGAAACTTAGGGATTGTTTCTCAAAAATAAAAGGACTTCCCTGGTTACTTTTTGGAATGCTTTCTTGTCTCTAATGGACCTGAATCTCATGATGACATCCCTAGATATCGGGGGGTTTGTTGTGGGGTTGGCCTAGTAGATGGTACATTAAATATAGGATTAGGCTTTTGGCATGCTTAGGTGACAAAGCTGCGGAGATCAGTCTCCTCATGAACTAGGGCAATTGTGTCAGAAACCCCTATAACCTTCAGGTTGCGTTGTCAAGCTGTGTCTTCGAGGTGCGCCATCTTGGCACTTAGTTATGCACATCTGAGCTGTACCTCTTGTAGTTGAATCTTACTTGACCCTCAGGACGTGTACATCTTCCGTGGCCCTGATACGTCCTGTCAGAGCATCCACCATTTCGGATGCAAAGGTCTTGAGCTCCGCGACTATGGAGCTTAGGTCTATTTTGTTGGCCTGGAGTGGTGGTTCTGCCGATCGTATGGGCGGTACTTAGTTCCGACGTCCTCCAAGACATTTTGGACATTTGGACACCAGTGTCTCCCAAAATACCCATAATCCTCTGGAGGCTAGTTTGGGTTGAGGTGCATCACCTGAGATTACATTATAGTGCAGTATGTAATAAACCCCTTTTTGTGTCCTCCCCACATTTGGAAGACTCTAAGTGAAATCATTAGTAATGTATAAACCAAGAGAATGATGAGTAGAAGGAAGACTAATCCAATGCAAAAAATGGCAAATGCAGACTTGTTTTGCTTCCAGATGGCAGAGGAAATGGCCTAAGCCCCAATTATTTAAAATAATAAAACCTTTACCTTGATTTGCCTGAATCCTTATCTTTCATGTATGCGATCTTCATTTGAATGATGAGTTAATATTGCTTTTGAGGTTCGTAGGTTATTTTGTTTCTTTTAAGGGAGGGTGCAGCTACTGATCCATGTGTTGTGATTATTTCAATTTGGTTCCCTTATATTTCACATCTCAACAATTTGTTTCAGTTTTTATTCTACTTCTTTTTACTACAATTAAAGTGTGCTTTGTACGTGTGCTCTATTAGCAGAACAATACTGAATTTCGGTATCACTCAATGGGGTGGCTGTAGAGAAGTGATCTGCTTCAGTTTGACACTGGGCTACAGAACCTCATCCATTTACCGCTTTATATTAAAATAGGCCATAGTAATGTAGACGGCTTAAATATTGATCTGAACCTCCCAAGCATGGACAGTGGTAGTCACGTTTCCCCGTTTGTGAAACAAGGCATGGGAAAGAGGATCCTTGCCCCTTCCAATTCACCTTTACTATAATAAAGTTTCAGGTCAAGGCTGTAAGAGTGATGATGTTTCTGTTAGCAAAGAAACCATTCACTGATTAAATTTATCAATGCACAGAGAAACGTTTTTTGCACCGGATACATTTCTCTGTAATACAGCCATCACCGCTTTCTACGCCAGCAAACTCAGCTGGCAACTACATATACAGGAAGAGACAGATACAAGATCTGCATTTCTGCTCTAGCGTAGAGTAAACTGGAAAAGTGTTTTATTTTAAAGCTAGCTTCAGGCATGAGAAAGAAGCCGGGGTGTGGGTTAGGGGGAGGAACTTAGACCGTGAAATAATTTAATCACAGAGGTTGTGGAGTTGCAGCTGACAAACATCTGTGATTATAGATTCTTGCCCCTTAAAATGGCTATGTAATCTGACTACTGTGTAGGTTACCCTAGCATCCACATGCATTCTAAATGTGTTCTAAACAGAAGTCAGGAAGGCCCTCACGCTGCCTTGAATTGCTATTCACAGCACAGCTTTATACAACTACTTGAAAAGCTGAACAGTTATGCAAAATGTTGCTACCAAATGAATTGGGTAACTTATTTACCTATTTAGTTATATTTACTAGATTACGTCCCTTGTGGAATAGTAAGTGATTCAAGCCGAACATAAATCATGGCATGTGAGCTGCAGATCATTACTCAACAGGCATCACCTAGCAAACAGTGCAGATGATCCAAAGAGGAACAGGACAGTTTCAACACACCTGATTAAGATTTCTCTTACAAGTGTCATCTGTTCAAATTGCATTTGTTGTTTGGTAGCAGTGTAACACTTTGTAATGGATTTGTCACAGTAAGGTATTGGTTTGACTGCAGTTTAAACCCTTTTTTTCTTATAAAACAACTTTTAATGGTTTGTGTTTGGCAAATAATTAGAAAAGTGTACCTATACTTCAGTCAAGTGCAATGGTTTTACGTGTGTAGATTTTATATTAACTGTCTTTTACAAACAAAATCAATCCCAACCCAATAATAATTTTTTTTTCCTTGGGCTCCAGTGGTGACAGTTTTGCACCAAATTTAACCATTTATTATGTAATCTTAATACGCCTGTGTGATACTTCATGAGGTAGATAAAAGTAAAATAACTTTACAGAACCGGCATAACACATCTCCCTTTGTCCTGCTGTGAGTGGATTGCTTAGGTTGTTTTTGCACAATAATCTTCCAATCCTGCCTATATATGATTGTTAGCGTTTTGTAAATACAAGGAATTATCTTCTTTTTGAAAGCCCTGTAAAGTTAAAACTAAAATATTCACTTTAACTGTTTAGCACCTCTCATCTTAAATCCCTTTGTCTAACCTGACTGCTGGCTCGTTACAGACCTCAGTCAAATTGCACAGCAGACGAAGTCAATTAGTATTCTGATTACAGGATACAAAGTCAGTCAAAATATTTCCACATCTACCACAGCCTTCATTTTCAAATTAAAACAAAATCAGAATTTTATTATGCAAAAACAACCTTTTTCTTGTAAAGAAAAATCTAAAGAGAAAAAAAAAAAAAACAAAAAAAAAAACCATTAACAGACCCTGGACCTTTATTTTTCTTATAGCATCTTATACAACTCTTCTCTACAAATTCACGCACACTAGATCTTACACCCATACATACACACACAGGCGCACGCACATTAAAAAGACTCAAACCAAACTCAATGTGGAACCATTCATGAAGAGGCATAGGGTATTCTAGTAAATATAGAACTGGAAAAAATTGTCTTGGCATAAATGGCAAGTGAGTGGAAAATAATGAAAATATCTTTAAGTATTGAGTCCGTTAAAAATTTTGCCAGACTGTACGCTATACTGATCAATGTAAAGTTTTCAGTGACAAGATTTAACCAGAAAAAAAAAAAAATATATAAATATATATTAAAAAAAAAAGAAAAATTGAATCAGACCCTCTTCTTTTAAGTGTTGTAGTATTTTTCAACTACATGGCATTGCCATCTGGGGCTGTAAGGAATAGGATACATGGTAAAAATTTCAGTAATTTATATCAATTTAAAGCAATACTTTATATACAATTAAAAAAAAAACATGCATAGTCCAGCGTACAATGTTGAAAACAGCATTTTCATAACAAAAAATGAAGAAAAAAAAAATAAGAAAAAAAAAATAAGAAAAAGAAAAAACCCAGAACACTGAAGTTTTAATACCATGTACACTTTACTCAGCAAGAAAATAGCTGCTGTCAGACAGTATTTTCACTCCTCCTCTGGCAGGGGGTCAAACCTTTTTCCTTGGCCCCTCTGACAAAGGAAGAGTTAACAATGTCATATAGGTTAAGAAATGCTCCAGAGTTTTGTCACGCATCCTCTACCATACTGTACAATGATTCAGTCTCTTCCCCTGCTCTTGTTATTTATACTGGTAGAACTTGCATGATTTACACTTTGATTGCTTGTAATATTTAAATTTTCTTATCTCCTTTTGCCTTTTTTTTTTTTTTTTAAATACACCATCCCAAACAGTTTGCAGGAGCGGTTTTCAATTTCATGCCCCAGCCATAAAAAAAAAATAATGAAAATAAAAAGTAATAAAGATTTTTAAAAAAAAACAAAAAAAAGTTTGGTGGGATACTGAAATCTGATTTCACGATTTTCCCTCTGGCTCATTTCAGAAGACTGTGTAAGCAGTATGCAAAGGGAATCTTCAGCAGGGAAGATATGGTGAAAGAGCATTCTGTAGTCTGGGGTTAAAGGGATTCAAAAAAATAAAAATAAAACACAAGTATAACAAATCATTTTCTTTACAGCACTCTTTTACAAGTGTCCCATGGAAAGCATCCTCCTCCTTGTGATGTGATCGGTGTAGTTACAAGTGGTAAGAGACAACCCCCCTGCCCACCCCTCTCTCCCAATTTGTTTTAGGCTCTGTAGCTGCAGGGGGGGGAAAATATACCCAAAAAGACAGTCCACTAAAATGAAAGAAAACAAATTACACATATATTAGCGTAATCAGACCTTGCCGCTTGTCTGTCAGAGGCATTTTTGCCCAAAATCTGACAGACAAGGGGCCAATTTTACCCACAGTGTGAGGACAGGAGAGGAGCAGTTAACCACTTTATGCTGCCGACCTACCGCACCACATTAGGCCATAAAGAAGTGAAAGTTCATAGTGGGCCACAAGAGGCGAGTGGGGTGTCTGTAATTTGGCTGTCTGGTCAGCTAAAAAATCCCCCCAAAACACAACTCTGGTTGTGTTCAAAGTCAAAGCAGCCACTGACATTGCTATAGAAAGGTGAAGGCGGTGCTCAGCAACGCTCAGCCAACCTCTCTGGCAGCATACGGTTTAAATGGAGTCGGGCAAGGGGGGCTGCAACCTCAGTCCAGACTGAGGCACCATGTCCAAATGGGCAGACCAGCAATGAGAAGCATTTTGTTTTCTTTTAAAATACGGTCCATTGAGGGGGTGCGAACAGGGAGATAGATATTTATATATTTATATTTATATATAACAAAAAAGGAGAGCTATGGAAGGGTTATAGAAACCTCAGCCCTCCACCAGTGCAGTCCTCCAGTTCACTGCTATTTTGCGGATGCTACAACCCCTCTACAAATTTTTCCAAGGTATCCCCTGAAGTATCTCCAACAAGGGACAAGTCGTTTGTTAAAGCGCCACGGTTGGGGGGGTTGAGCTGAGGAAGCATGGCGCTCTGCTCAGGGTTTCCCAGGTGACCCTGATCGAGGGATGTACCCATGGAGCCTGCCAGGCCTGGGTGAGGAGATCCAGTCTGGGGTGAGACATGGTGCGGAGAGGGTTGTGGCTGTATGCGGGGAGAAGGGCTGGAATGTGGAGGCTGAGACTGGGGACGAGGTGACTGGACGGGGGCGGGCGAGCGCACCTGATTGCTGAGGGAGGTTGCAATTTGCTGGCCCGGGGGAAGGTGACTGGAAGGTGGCTGGCCCGTCAATAGGTGTTGCTGAGGACTCATGGGATTAGGCTGCCCAGAAGAGGCAATTTGCTGTTTGAGCTGCTGTTGAAGACGCTGCTGTAGCGCCTGCTGGAGGCTTGGTGGTGCTCCTTCTGTGCCTAGACCAGGCTGTGACATCTGTGGGATCTGTCCCATTCCTCCACTCTGGATGGAAAGATGCTGCTGCTGCATGCGTTGCTGTTGCAAAGCTTGTGACTGAGGATAGCCTCCTTGTGGTTGCTGGAACTGGCCATGCCCTGGCATCCCACCTGCCATTCCTGCTGCATTTTGTTGTTGTTGTTGCTGCTGCTGCTGCTGCTGCTGAAGCATCTGTCGGCGTATCATTTCCCGATACTGTTGATTCGCCAAACTAGGATGACCTGGGTTCATCAGGCTTATGCCCTGGTTCTGGGGGTTCATTCCAGGCTGCTGCTGAGGAACATTGGGCCTCTGCACAACCTGCATAGGATTCATGTTCTGCAGTCCAGGTTGTGAATGCATTCCTGGTTGTGGTGCCTGCTGAGGCGGTTGCGGTTGCTGCATTCCGGGCTGGCTGTTCACATACTTTGCAGTTCTTTGCTTGATGAAAGCTGCCATCAGCTGAGGGTTGGATTTCAAGATGTTGAGAACTTGCTGCTGTTGCTGAGGGGAGCTGGGTGACTTAAGAGTACGCAGTAAGTCTTGCAAGGCATTGGGTGATATGTTGCGAGCCTGCTGCTGAGGAACTTGCAGACGAGGTCCTTGAACTGCCTGTTGGGAAGCCATAGGCATCACTGGCCTCTGGATGTTCTGCTGCATGGAAGGTTGCTGGGTCAGTTGGGCTGTTGGCCACTGACCTGGTTGCATTCCAGCCATGAGTTGAGGGGCAATGGGGCCAGGACGTGGCACATTCATAGGAACTTGTTGTATAGGGGTTACAGGACCCACAGCCGGGTTAGCCATGCCAGGACGCACATTTGTCATGCCATCTCCAATGCTGTTGACCCTGTATAGCTGCTGTTGTTGCTGAGCCTCCAATTCTATTTGACGGGCAGCTGCAACAGCTGCTGGTGGGGGCTGAACAGTGGGCTGAGAAGGTGGCACCACAGGCACCGGGTTTGCTGGCTTTCCTTGTGAGGTCACGTTGGGGGCCTGAGTCCTAGGTACAGTTGGGAAACCTGGTGATGCAATATTTACTGGGGAAGGTTGTGGAGCAGGTTGGGGTGTCTGCGGCGTGCTAGGCTGCTGGGTGGGTGTCCCAGGGGTTGCTGAGGTAGGGGAAGGTAGAGACTGCTGTGGAACGGCTCGAGTGTTCATAGTGGCCATACGCCGCCTCATGAGCTGAGCTTGCTGCAGCCGGTGTTGAATCTGTTGCTGCCGTAATTTTTGTTTTATGTTTAGACAGAAGGGCACTGGACATTTGTTCTCCTGGCAGTGCTTTGCATGGTAGCAGCATAGGGCAATTAGCTGCTTACAGACAGGGCAACCACCATTGGTTTTGCGTTTGCAGCCTTTTGTGTGCTGCACAACCCTCTTCATCTTCTGGCATGAGGGCAGTGAGCAGTTGGCGTTGCGACACTGACAGGCATGCACCAAAGACTGGATGCAGCGCTGGATGCTCAGCCGACGCGACTCCTGTGGACTCTTGGACTGCGATTCGCCCTGGCTGTTGCTCTCGTCGTCCAAACCGAGACCCCATTTAACCATCTTGTGCTCATGGTTCTTTGTATTGTAGCAGCTCACACAAAGATCATAATCCTGAAAAACATGTCAAGAGTTAAGGGTTAAAAAAAATAAAATAAAATAGTCCCTTACACAGATGATATGGGGGGCGGGGGAGAGAAGGGAGGTGTAATTCAAAGCACAGAAGATATGTTAAGCCAATTCTGAATATTCTCACCTCACACACTGTGCAGTGCCAACGTGTCTCCACATGGTGTTTGCATTCGTTACAGGTATAGACAAAGCGATCCTGGCCTTGTGTGTGCAGCTCCACCAACATACAGAGAGTAGACCACTTAGAACGTCGCAATGAGGAGAACTCCCAGTGTTTATCACGAGCCAATGTCAGGAAAGCATCCCGACCATCCATCAGATCACAGCTCAGAAGGGGATCAGGATCCACAATAGGTGGAAGGGAATTGATCACAGGCCCAGCGTAGAGGTGGATCACGAAAAACACCTGAACAAGAGGAAATAGCTTAGAACACAAAGTGGGAACGTAACGGGGTACGGAGGAACACAAGCTCTCCTGAGGTTATCTTCTCATTTAAACGTTTAGGTTTTTATGTTTAAAATAATTTTATGAATTTAAAAATACAAGACAATATTCTATTACAAGCAAGGAAAGTGGCCACAATGTATTTCAGATTAAGCAATTTTCACACCCTATAGGATCCAAGTGACCCAGCTCAACTAAGACAATGTAAAGCACTAGAA